AAAAATTGTTTTTATGTAATCAATAGAACTATTTTTTAGTTCACAAAAAATGGACTAACGCAAGCCAAAAAATGTTCTAAAAAACATTGACTACTATTTACTATATTAATTGTATTAATTATTATTATCTAATTTAATAATAATATAATTTATTTGTTATCTAATATATTAGATAACATGTTGTCTTAGAATTTCTTTGTCTTCAAATTTATATTTTTCCTCGGGTCTTGTACAAACTCTCGTTCAAAAGGTAAAAGAAGCCTATATTAATTCATACAGCGATAACGTAGATATTATAAAATAATGTTTCACAATATTTAAATAATATTTCCTAAATATCATAAATTTGATTATTATTATTCTTCAATTTAATGATCTTATGGTAACGTCTTTTGTTTTAATTTCTCTGTCATAATTTATATTTTTAACCTCAACTTAATTTTAAAAGGAAAAAAAACAAAATGTATACATCCCTCACAGCACTAATATAATATAATTTTTTTTAAAAAAATACCATGCGATGCACAAGAACGGTGACTGATTTTATGAGGGAAACATCATACTTAAATCGTTAACTTATCAAATAATATTATAATTGCCAAATTAGATGGACAATCTAGGTGAACTATTGGCTATTTTCATGCAAGTCGTTTAAATGTTAATTTTGGTACAAAAAATTAATCGTTAGTAGAATTTATACTACCTTGTGAGCTTGGTAAAACCTTAATTAAATAATTACTAATGAACATAATCTGACCGTCGCGTCACTATTAATATAAGACGTATAAGCTACAACAATAAATTTCAAATGTAAATAAAATAATTATGCTAAGACAACGATGACACAACGCGAGAGCGAAAAATATTATTTTTCTTTCAACTAAGTAAGTAAATATATCATTACTTTAATTCAACCATGCCATGAATTTCAATAGCGTGTCATTGAGCAATGGAAATAATATTGCATCGATTAGAATTACTGTTTAAAATACAATCGAGCGGTTGACAAATGACAATGAATCTGTTGAGACAATTATTTTATGTGACGTACGTGTTATCGTCTTAATGTTAATCACGACATCTAATTATTAATCTAACACATGTCGAAAACTAACACACATGTTATTGTCAAGTTTATGTAAATCCCACTCAACACAAACACGCTGTTGAGACCGTTGGTGTACAATTATATTACAAGGCATAGCTACCTTGAGCTTACAGTTGAGTGGCTGCTTTGTACGTATGTTCTCTTAAAATGTATTAAACAATTATTGTTTTAATAGCAAAAATGGAATAAAAACATCGAGATAATAATATTAATTATAATATCCAACGGTTTATTAGACATTTAGATTAGAACATATTAAAAAAACTGGTTTATTGATTGGGTCTGTCAGTTCCTGGTATTAAAAGCATTTTTGTTTTTGTAGCATTTGGAGTTTTCCGTAAATGTTCGCACTTGTTATGATCTTTGGATCGACAAAACAGCACAATTGTCATCCGCACATGGAAATGTCCTGCAATTGGTCATAGCTGTATCACTTACGTACTTCGGCTTGATAGACCCTCAATATAGACTGTAATATTATGTCGATTACTAATCATGCCGTCAGGAAGATCAAAGAGTTTTCTGCTTTTTTTGAACTTCGATAATTTTAAACCAATTAGTTAGTGCCCATTATAAGTATGTCATTAAAGAATAGAATAGACACCATTATATTTATTTGGAAACTTGCTAAACGTTTCCTGGTTAGGTAAAATACCGTCAGCTCCATCCGCTTTTATTTGCGCGTGTTGCATTATTTACTACATCCAAAGTAAAGTCACTAGTTTGCACTAGTGCACTAGTGTGCATTCATTCTCAGAAAAAAAAATTAAAAATCAAAATAGATCCTTCTTCCCTATAGTAATGTGTAAAATCATTTAAAAATTTTAGCTTAATGCAAGTTTTAGCGAACAATTGCCTATACAATGCGCCTTAATAAATGCTAGTGTAGAGGCCCATTATTATAAATTATAATAATGCTTTTATATACTAATATTATAACTACTATTGTAGTTGCTAAATGTTAGTGACTGTTATTATACTATGTAAATAATTTTAAATGATATGAAGTCCTCCATTTAAATACTAGTACAGAATATTTAATTATGTAAATTTCAATAAAAACTAATTGAATACGATATGTTCCCTTCGAGGGAACCCTCGTGGTTTTAAAAATATCCAACACCTAAGTATGCCACTTTTTGTCTATATAGTTTTGATAGTGTTATTGACACTATGTTCATAAACAATAACTTATTCATGGGCCATTTGGTGATTTTAGTAAGTAAGTATACAGTAAACAATTACTTATTTGTTGTTTAATGTTTTAATTGCACAAAAGCGAGACAAAATGCATTCGTTTTTTTCGAGAAGGTCGTTCTATTTAGTTAAAGGGTCAGTAGCGTTCCTGCCGTAGACTTAATTATGCTTGCAATTATTATTTTTTTTTTTTTAAGTAACACAGTCATTTACATCGAGCTACACTACCGACGGCGACATAAAATGAAATAATTACAACCGTTCAATAATTAAAATATAATTTGTACCAGAAATACACGCTCTTGCAAAAAAATATAAATATATAAAACACAAATACAGACGTCTAAATTAATTACTTGTGCCTACTCATGTACTCATGTACAAATTAAAAAAACAAAATGCTTTATTCGTTGTTATTACTTTTAAAGGTTATATCTATAAGCAGCAAAGGAAATAAAGTGATTATATATTGTATAAAAAATCACGTTCATCTTGTGTTATTGCTGACTAGACTCGTGATAAACTGAACTAAAAAAAAAAAATCTCTTCTATACTACTTAAAATCGGTTTGGAGTGCTAGTGAATTTTGAAATGTCACTATAAAGCTACACTAAAGGGTTGTACAATTAAAGGGCACGAAGCCCATTCGAGTGGAAGATTAAAAAGGTTTTAAAATGAGTAAAAATCATAATCTAGTTTTGCTACCTTCGAATATACAAAAAATACAAAAAAAACCTCAAGTATTCAATAAATAGTAATTATATTGTTTTCAGTAATTAGCAATATTCTCATAATATTTTTTTTACAATTTGCTTAGGTAAAAAATAATTTTGTTCTAAATCTATTTTTTTTGGTTAAGGGTTTTAAAATATTTTACTCTTCCTATCTGAACAACTAGAATAGATGTTTAGGAATAGTCACGCTTAATTTATCATTTTTATTCACTCTTCATCATAGAGCTCTTATATTATGAAAACTCATAAGTCATAATAGTTGTATTGTATTTTAATGTTTATTTTAAATGGAACTATATACATAAAGCTACTTTCAAACCATAAGAATACCATAACTATACATATTTAAGAAATAAAATGACTATACTTCTAAGAATTTCATTTAGTGTTAAGGATTCTCACGTTATGTCAAGGTACTCACGCTTAAACGATTTACACAGAAATGGATTAACTAGTAACAAACGATTAGTACACGTCATTATTTATGTATTATGTACTAATGCTAAGTTAATAAATTGTCAGTAAGCGAATATTTAATCTTTGTCTAATGTAAAACACGAATTAGTTTTTGGAGTGACATACAAATAAGTTTATGATTACATTTTAGATTTTATAAAAATGTTTGAATTTCATTCTAATATTAAAGCCAGAAGTGATTAGTTGTAATAATATATTTTGCATCGTTAGGTAATAATAATATGTAACTTAACTAAAGGTTATAAAAAATTAATTTTATTTTTAAGATAGAGCAATAATAGGTACGTGGATTAAAGATCAAAATCGGCATAAGCTAAAGATAATACAAGTGGGTAATCAAAAATAATGTTTTCGGCTATTTTATTTTTTTCTGAACATTTTTTGCCGTGTACTAAACATGTACAGCGAACAGCCAAAAAAATATCATTAGCTCTTTGAAGGGGCGAAAAACTTTTACTTTGTTTCATTCTTTTTGGAGGTAGTTTTTGAACAATCTAAAAAAAAATTATTTTTAAAAAATTTTAGTCAATCGTTCTTTATACCGAAAAAAAACCAAAAACAAAATTAATTATAAACAACTAACAAGTATTTTTTTTTTTGGATAGTTATTGGAATGAAAGCTGTAAAATTGATTGATGGACGATGTAGCATAGCATGTATTTATAAATTAAAAAATAAACATTTGTTTATATATCTTAACATAATTATTATATTATCAAAAACATGTAAAACAATAGTAATATGATCGTCGTGAAGATGATCGTACCAACTCGTCGAAAGATGGACTAATCAAACCGAATTTAAACGATTTTAAAGGTTAATATAGATATTTTGTCTTAAGTTTAAAGGGTTCGTTTAACGTTAATGGGTAATAATAAAAATGTTCACAAACAAAACTTGTTAAGGATTTAAATTTCGTAACTTTTATACATAATACTTTTATCTATATAGACTTATATACATATATAAAATATATATGTACATACTTTCATAATACAGCTACATGCGTTTGCTATGAAGGGGAAGTCATGTGACCGACAATTCCCCTATCATTGGTTATGTATAAAAAAAAACATGCGTTTTCTTTAGTACTAGGTAGGTACAATAATATAATAACATACTATTTGGATACCTACTCTTGACACGACAACTACACGAGATCTCGTAAAAAGATAAATAAGTACTCGGTTGATTTTCGATGGTATATTAGGTTGTATTCTTTCAACAAATAATATTATATTATCATGACTGTTGTATAGGGTTTTCGGTGCGCGCTGCTATCGCCGACCGCGGTAATTATTGGTGTCATTATCCCCATACAGACACCGATGGTTTTATTACATCCACATTACAATTATTATATATTTATTTTTTCTTAATCAGCCGAGGTCTATATGCTACTTACATAGTTCCAGTGCTCTTATCAGTCAATGAGTTGGTGACACAAACAAGTACACACACACAATATATAAATGTATTACACACACTCGCAGTTTAAATAGTCACGGCTATCGTCGCCGCCTTAGACCGTATAATATAACATAATATAGAGATAATGAAAATCAGTCAGTGTTCGGTTTGTGAACTCAAAAGATGTGATATTCGGCTTACGTGGTCGCTCTTTTTTTTTTTTAATTTCTCAGTGCGCCCTAACAGTGCTATTAACGATTTGTCTTAATATTATATTGTTGTGTACAAAAAAAAATTCTAAAAACCGGCCGTGCAAACGATATTAGATTTCTTTTTTCGTTTCGTTTCGTATTTTGGTGTTAATTAAAAGGTTCGTGATCAATCGTTTTACCAACAAATCGGATACCATTGAGCCTCCACCACCGTGTCGGCCCCACAGCCGCCCCGTTAAATTTTCCAGACCACCTCCCCTGCCCCCGCCGCCATGGATTCGCTAATGCCCACGATCAAGGTAAAAAATGCCAAAAACACACAATTTCAACAACAACAAAAAAACCACTAAAAATCTATAACCAAACGTCACTTATTTATTTTTTTATTTATGTTCAAAATTGGTTACAACATTGAGAAAATATAAACTCCGTCTGCTGTTTGCTTACTTTTTCCCATATCGGAGAAAACGAATCAATTATTATTGATAAAGAAACGCGTTACACATCGCATCACGTGAACAAATAACACTGCGCTCTTGTCGGCCGTAATTACACTACACTTTTAAATATGAACAAAATAAAAATGTTTAATTAATCATTATAATTTAATTTTCCGATAATGAGATAAATTAATTACGATTCTAGCTGCGTCACACGCGGATAGTCCAAACGGAATTATCGACCCAAGATGTACTCAAAGTGTACTATCATTGTTCGTTTTAGATTTTCGAAAAATGATCTCGCCACAAGAATTATTGTCATATCGGTGAAACCAATAAATTATACGGATTATAACGGACGATGTTGTACACTAATAATTATCGCCCTGATAATTAGTTCATCGCAAACGACGGAGTTGCAATATTAATAGCGTTTAATAGGCCATGCCTATCAATAAGCGACAAATTTGCCAAATGATAATAAACAAAATTACTATAGTACAATATGTATATAATATATTATAGTGTTTCTCAGAGAGGTAGTTACACATAATGTGATCGTCATCACATTATGGCGACGGTATCTTGAACACAAATTCGTTTTACCAAAGTCTGAACACAAAGCAAATTAATTGTGTCGCCCTAACTGCTTATCACTTGTGGAATGTCACTGTTCTATTATAGCATGATGATTATTATTATTACTTTACTCTTTCTGTGTACGATGTTACTACAATTTAATAATAATGACTTAATCGATTAATCTCACCTCACGTCCGACGAAACGTTTTAAATCGTTTTAAATCCACAAACAATTTAATTGTAAAAAATAATAATAATTAGTTGTTACAGAAGTTCTTTTTAATGTAAATAATATGAGTAGTTATAATTATTTGTATATTAGACCAAGTCATGAACAGAAACTAGTTATACGTAAAGCATACAAAATTACAAAAATCAAAAACTTTGTAATTCTCACGTTATATTTTGTTTCTCAATGTTCTTTAATGTTAATTTTTCATCAAACGTTACAAAATTACATTAAGAACTATTAATATTTTGTTGTTTGACTCAAAACATAGTATATAAAACCAGTGCCTTCTAAGCTCCGGATCAAAGCTACAATATGTATTTTAATATATATGTATGATATATACATTATAGGTTGGTCGTTTTTTTCATTTTAGGTTCCTGTAAAAAGCTTATAAATAAATATAAAAATGCTCCAATTTTTATATACCAGTTGATTCTTTTAACGCCCTACACTAGTTTTCTCTATCACTAGTCTTTCTTTTTAAAAACATTTTTATTTATATTATTTTACAATATCAGACAGTGTTCAAGTATTTATATTTTTTAGTTTTTCCCAGATCGCTATCAACTTTTGAAACTTAAATGGTAACACGTATACATAAAGTTAATTTTTTTAATTAATAATAATTTGTTGAAAATGATCAAACCCAGTTTTGAATACATATTATTAGTTATTTAAGTTTAAAATTTAAGATGGGGGAAGGGTCAAGAGTAATATAATTTTTATCTGTGCGCATTACTTAACCGTATTCGACCTACCCCCCTAAATTTTAAAATTTAATGACTTTTAAAATAATTCTTCAAAACTTGTTATCGACTAGTCAAAATGTACAGTAGATTATTCTTAAATTAAAAAGGAAATTAAAAATGTATACGTTACTAATTAAGTTTCAAAAGTTGATGGATCTCCGTAAAATACTAAAAACGATAAAAAATTGAATACTGTGTAATATTGTAAATAGCACAAACAAAAATATTTTCATATAAACCTAAAATATTGCAGCTATTTAAAAATATAATTTTATTTAATTAAACATAGGTACTTTTGTTTCTGTAAAAAGAATACTTGTAATCCTGATAATTTTTATATACTATATATTTAGTCTAGAAAAAACGTTACACTTGTTTAATAATTGAAATCTAAAATGTGTGTTATTTCTTTTACGCAACATCTTTGAATTGAACAATCATCTAAAAAAAAAACAAAATTTAAAGATTTTTATGATATTTTTTAAATTAAATATTATGAACTTTTCAAATTTTATTTTTTAAGTGAAGTAAATTAAGGTTTTATAATTAACTTAAAAGTAAATTTGCTTGACTAAATCTGACTTCAATATCGTTTTTAATATCGAAAAGTACAATGTGTAGTATCATTTGTTTTCCGCGATTATGACCAAAAATGGGTCAAATTTATTTAAGTTTACTTAAAAAAAAATGTTTGACTACAGATTTTTTTTTACACGTTAGTCTATGTTAGATCTATTTTCAGCTCCTAAGTCGTCTTAAAACCGCGTCTAAAAATAAAAATAAAACGAAAAAATTCCAACCCCTGCGAGAGGGTACAGGGTGTTTGAAATTTGGATTTAAGGCTATTTGTGGATAGGAGCATGCCTAATAAATATTCTATTAAAATGTTGACTCCAACCGATCGTTTTTTGCTAAGTTACAGCAAGTTCAAATGGAAGGTTGAAAACCCGGCAAATTGCTTTTCGATTTTCCCGGTTTTGGGTTAAAGGAATTGATTGTTCTGCTTTTGACCCACCAAAGTACAATCTGCATACGATTTCGGATCTATAGATGAGCTATTCGAGTAAATCGGTCCAGATAAAAAAAGTTACCGCGTTTACAAACAACATCATCATTATAGATATATTATCTCCCCAGCTTTGCAGACTGCATCGACGATCAAAAAAACTATGAATAATTTTGAGGCATAATGTCATTTTTAAATATTTGACTTTGTATTTGAGGAAAATATTGTTTTATTTTTGTAGTCATAAATTTGAATTCATATTAATAAAGTCTGTAAAATTAGAATGAGGAAGATCTGATGTTTACCTATAATAATTTATGTTTACTAAAGTGGTTCTTAATATTTAATTTTCTGCTAAAACAGTATGTAAACTTTTGATAATATAAACAATTAATATAAAACTTAACTTTTTAATGGCATATTATTATAAAAATATATTGTTTCTGAATAGGGTTTGGATTAGTTGAATTTTCATGAGAAGCACTATTTATTACTGTAAAGACAGTTTTACCAAGTATTGTTAAACATTAATCCACTCTTATTTCTCTAGATTAAAAGATGTATTGCAATTTATCAATAATTTATATTCTGTGATAATCCTGCTAAGTGTATTTCAATCATAATTCTGCTTCCTCGACTAGAAATTTGGTCGAAATAATTAATCTTGATACTAGTAATGTGGTGTTGTTTATTTATCGACCTGTTAGGAATTAAAAATAAAAATACATTATTTTCCAAAATCTTTAGATTGCTTACTTATTACGCGCTAAATAAATTAAAACAGATTTTGAAATAATAATATATTCGCCCTAAAACAACGATTAGTCAGTTAGTAAAGAGTTAATACAAAATTTAAAAAATTTAATATTTTAGTTAAAGTTAATAAATATAAATTAGAATAATTTGTGTATGTTAAATTTAAAAATTCACCAAATTTTTAACTGAACTTAAGCTTATTACCGCAAGTTTAATGCTTACACGATACATAAGTTATAAAAATAATCAACATTTTACACATTCGAGATATAATATGTAAAAGTTATTTTTGAGGAATGTGATTGTAGTATATACTCTTAAAATAAATCGTTTACAAAGTTAAAAAAAGTAGCTTTTTTTAACTTGTAACACTTTTTGTTACATATAAAAATTACCCATCAATAAATATTTTGCTTCAGTATATTTTGTTTACCACAAATTTTTTTAATGTATCGTTGTGATTTATTAAAAGATTAACTTTTTGATATCTCATTAAAGTAATTTCGTTTAACAGTTGGATAACAATACCGCACTAAATTGTGGGAAGTATTTAGTAAACTTATCATTCTATAACTCGACTAAATCTTAACAATCTTATGTAGTTAGATTATAGAACATATGCTATCTTTATAGGTGTATATATATTTCAATAGGGTCTTTTAAATAGTGACATTTTTATTTTAATACTTATACGTGACAATTAACTATTTCTTTACTTTACTTTTCCTATATCAGAGCTTAATAATTGAGGTTTGGGGTCTAAAAAATTGTTTGCGAGAAAATTAAAAATTCAATCTCACAACATTTTTCTCACATATCCATTTTTAATAATTACAGCTGTACAATTATTTGAAGAAAAAAATGGCTTAGATATAGCTGCTTCTTGTGAAACCCCGTTCAAAATTCTTGTCCCAACATTTACGAGAAAATAAACTCCATAATCCTTCTCCTCACTTCTTGTTAACGATTTTTTATACCTCACGACTGGCTATATGAAAAATTTGGTTCAGTCGTTAAAACGTTATCGTGGTCCCAAAAACCAAACACATCATTGATTAACTAAAAAATAGAATACAATTTATTTATTATCAAACAAATCTCTGTACTTACATTACTACATTTCCATAATGTTACTAAGTATAGTTTTTTAATTGAATCCAGATTAATATTTAAAATCCTTTGTTGTGAAAAATACCAAATTCTATTTTAAGAATACCGGGAATATATTAAAATACTCAGAATCCTTATCGCAATACTTGATGAGCCGAAATGAGATTTAAATCGATTTGACGACAACAAAAAACGGTTTACATTAAAATACAGTTTTACACAAATCATTCAAAGGAAACTCGAGTGAAGGAATCGCTGGTTTATCCCTTATGCGTTTTTTCTACATGTTGTTTCAACACCAAGCTTCCCCTACTCGAATAAACTGTAGAATAATCCGTTTTTAAATTTACAAATATGTTGTGATAGTTACGCACTATATAAAATCTGTAAAAATATTATTAGGTTTATTTTTATGCTTTGAACGACTCTGAAGACGTCCACTACAAGTGTGAAAATTTTGAATTGCGACAGAGAACGTTTTTTGGGCGCGTTTTTGTGTCTTGTTCGAACTAGACGAACACGTCGGAATAAATAATAATAGTTATATACATATATATTATATTTATTACACATCTAACTTCGAAGAATTTCAGATATTTTATACATTTCAGATTAGTCTAATGATATCGGCGGGACTTGTGGTGATGATGGTTTGTGCGGTTCAGACTACCGTTATAGCGATGGCCCCTCTGCTGTCGGCGGTGGCAGACACCAAAATGTGCCCCAACGGATGCCTTTGCACGCTCGTGGAATGGATATGTTCTGGCGCCAATGCCAGCGAAGTGATCGCCTCCGGAGTAGATATCAGAGTAAGTGGACACTCATATTTTGTCGTTATAGTTAAAATAATACAAGAGTGTGGATTAAGAAATGAGAGAGTTCAGGTGCGGAGTCAATAGCTGGAAAAAATAAATTGAAAATAGCTCGAGACGGTTTGACCAAGTCGGCAGAGTAAAATAAAAACGGTAACACCTTTTTAAAAAACTATTTCTCAACGTTTTGAAACTAGAAAGTCCGTCATGGGCCATATGCCGTTAAAGTTGTTCGATTTACTGTAGTACAACGACGATAGTCGAAAAAAGGTAATAATAATACAAAACCGTTTTAACCGGTCGGTGTTTTTCTTTTTACAACAAACGAATGCCGCTTAGAGAAGGTGTAGCCGTTAAGTCATTTCTTTCTTTCTCAGTTATGACGATGAATTTCGCTTTTAAAGGGAAACGTCATTAAGGAAACACATAAAAAAACGATCCTGTGATAAATCTAAAGTAATAGTTCGTACTTCGGAACGATTTGAATATCATTTTTTAAGTAGTGATGCCTTATTCTTAAGCACACTTTGCAATTTTATTTTTTTTATTAACACACGGTCAGTAGTCTAAACCATATTTAACCAATGTAATTTAAATGTAAATATGTATAATTAGGTAATGTTTCAAACCCGTTAAGCATGGGGAACAAACGTGTTTTTACCTGAGATTTAATCACCAAGCCAAACGATAAAACGATAAATTTCAAATTTACCTAAATCATTTGTTACAGGTAGTTTATGCAGAATAAGTTTTATTCTGGTGGTTACGTTTCAACGAAAATTGCACTTTTACTGAACAATTTGTAATTTTCTAAGCGTTTAATGCTTAAACTGACGTTTATGTCTCACAATCTATACGTTTCTGCTATTCAAAGTTCTCCGCCAATAGAGACTACGCCCTGTATTTTTTTAAATATATTTTATCTAGTATGTGCGGTTCGAAAATACTCAAGTCGCAGGCGAACAAATGTGCCAATTACGGGACAGATAAACCGTAATACGGCAAATAATAATTAGTTACATTTTTATTGTTTTAATAATTATCGGTTATATGAATTTCGGTGATCTCATTTCATTAAATAATCGAACGATCGAACCAATCATACATATTGCATAGGCGGACCGTGTCGTATACTGTATTTATTTTATCTTAGATGTCATGAAAAACCTAATGAGAAACCGATTTTACTCGAGACACAGTGCTGTGTCTCGGCAGTTTTTACTGTTACCTATGCTGTTTTTGACCATTGCATTGGTGTCCTTTGGTTGATCTCTGTAGATTTGGTATGGTAATAATCGTCGGCCAGCTACACAAAAAATGTAGTAGTACACTAGATATTTTGTTGACAACTTATTTTATTTTTCAGCTGTTGCATTTGGACTTATCGGGTCTGGGACTGGACTCGATCCCGGCAAACGTGGAAAATATGAACCACGTCAAGCGACTGAACTTGTCACACAATCACATCCACGAGATCCACAAGTTCACATTGCAAAACCTATGGGATCTCGAAGAACTCGTACTGGACCACAACTCGATTTCGGACATAGTGTCAATCAACCCCAGTATCGCATTTAACTACAACAAGAATCTTAAGATGTTGAACTTGTCGAGCAATCCGTTGACCGACCTTGGCCGGGACGTAAGCACGATGCTTTACAGCGAATCGCTAGAGGTGTTGGACGTCAGCAACTGTCAAATCATATCACTGCTGGGACCGTTGGTGCTCAGCGGACTCAGGAAGTTAAGTTATCTGAACTTGTCCGGCAACCCGCTGACTCGACTCGACGGAGTGCTGTCCAACACCCTGAAAATGTTGAACATCCGAGGCTGTTTGATCAGTTACCTGAGTACGGACGCTCTGAACGGTTTCTCCAATCTAGAGGTGTTGGATGCCTCAGAAAACGTCCAGCTGTACATGGAATTCGCCATACATTCGACCACTTTGAACATCTTGGACGTTTCTGAGTGTTCCGTTCGCACACCAAACCTGTACGGTATGCCTACACTCAAATCCGCTTTCCTAAACGGCAACCGGATCAGAAAATTGGGACCCAATCAATTCACTAACAACACAAATCTAATAACTCTGGATCTATCCGACAACCACATTGAATATGTACGTATTAGCTAAGAGTTTAGCTGTAACATAGTGATACAAATGGTGGTCGATAAGGACAAATAAGGGAAATCAGCTGATAAAATACTTGATAGCGATAAGAATCGTTATTGGTAAGAAGAAATAGAGGAAAAAAGCAGTTGAGAGGTATGGTAAAGATGAGAATGGACAGCAGTAAGAGACAGCAAACCGGAAGAAAGATAAATAAAAAAATAGTAATTAATACTTGATAGGAGCTATATGCAAAACATGTTTTGTGATTTATGATTCCAGAAGCAAAATGGAAGTTTTTTTTTCTTATCATCTTATTCCAAATTAATTTATTACAAAACTATTTTAATACTGAAATTTTTCGGATTTCCGTACTATTGTCTTTTATTAGTTTATAACGAACCTGATGTATTCATATATGTTTTTTTTTTTTAGATGGATCCTCGTGCATTCAACGGTTTGAAGTCTCTTCGTTACTTAGACTTGTCGAAAAACATGATCACAGACATCTGGTGGGAATCGATCATTATTAATCTGCCTATATTGGAAGAGCTGAATTTGTCCTACAACACCATCACTCGGATCGGCTATCTCCGGTCGAATCATCTGCGGAAGTTAGACTTGAGCAACTGTTTAGTCCGATGGTTACCCAGAGAAGGATTCAACGAACTAAGCTCGCTCAACGAACTCATTCTAGCCAACAACCCGTTACATTCGCTGTTGCCGGGAAGTCTGAACTCGACCGAACTTTCAATACTGGATCTCAGCTACTGTCGGATATCCCATCTGTTACCATCCGAGTTTGCCAGTTCGCCAAATCTTAGCGAAATCAGACTGACAGGCAATCGTCTGGTAACGATAAAAAACGGAACGTTCTCCAAGTGTCCAAAACTTAAGGCGGTTTACTTGGACGACAACCCGTGGCGATGTGACTGCTTCACGTCCGACTTTGCGTACATGGCGTACATTACCAATCGAACCACCCAGTATTCCACACTTACCAGGTATTTAGCTTTCATATATGTGTACACTGAGTCGTTTATTTTCTTTATACATTTTATGTCTTTGCTTTGGCACACGACCGGAAAATTGATTAGTTGTTATCATAACGAAAATAACAGCTGATTTATCTTTTTTATCTCTAAATTGCCCAGACTGGGAGGGGAACGCTTTCGATTTGCTTCCCTCCCAGCCCGACATCGTTTATTCACAATAATTTATATATATTTACAAAAAGACCGGTTCCCAGTTAGCAGGGTGGTCTCACAATATGTACAATTACCGATTTGACAATACCAATACAATTTTCAGGGAGCAGCCTCCGGCTGCTATTGTCGTTGCCTCTCCGCCTTTTCTCGCTCCATCGTCACCCGTTTAACGAAGCCTGAGATTGCTGACCACGCCTCCCTTGTCTGGAGCATTGCGTCCACAGGCCGTCCGGCGAGCTGATTTATCTGATAAGATAAGAGATGAGAGAGATAAGGGAAAAGAGATAGGAGATTAGAGATATGGGGACGGGGTTGGGATGGGGATGGGAATGGGGGTTGGGGACGGGGATGGAGTTGGAGGAGTTTTAATTTTCTTGAATCTTTGATTTTTTTTTTATAAAACCACAAATATTTCATAGTTATTTTATCAAATATTGCTGGGTAGCCAGGCTGAATCTCCCGAGTCCTGGGCACTGTGAGAACGTGTGTTGATCACTTGGATAATCGATCAATCTTAAGGAGACCTGTTATGCACGAGCCACAATTAACCGAAAAATAAAATCGAATAAAACATTATTTATATTTTTTGAAGTGGATTAAACGCATTTCCCCTTTTATATTAATGATGGTACAAGTAACGCATCTTTTATTGACTTATGGCAAATTCACTGTTTTAGAATCAAGCAAACTTATTAGAAACTCAGTAATATGATATGGAATTTTGAAACTTTTATAACTTTAGCCTAAATCGTTAAAATATAAATCGCTCTAGTTAAACTCTAGATAAAGTTTTGATCTTTAATTTTGTATGGATGAACTTTTAAAACTTCTCAGTCTTTGAGAAAATCTTCCGAGGCACATTTTACACGTAAATAAGAAAACGGTGTGGCATAATATCGAAATTAGAGAACTGTGTTCGATTCGCCTTTAGAGTTATTAGTAGAAATATAACATAAATGAAATTACATTTAATAACAATAATTGTGGTTTCAATAGGAATCCGCATTGTCTGACACCGGACAACGTGACAGGCGTGCCGTGGCACGTGGCGTGCGTCAACAGCACGGCGTACGGGTTTTACCGGGAGAACCGGAAGAACTTCTCGATGGCCATCGGCGTCATCCTCATACTGTGCGTTTCCGGGCTGATGGCTATATTCGTGGCCGTGCACGAGAACATGAAGACCAGACAGGCGATGCGCAGGCAGCGGGAAATGGACGAGTACGTGGAGGGCGAGCTGGGCCTGGACCCGGCCGTCTACGCGGACGAGTATTCCGAATCGGCCCGAAAGTTGTCGCAGCTGCCGTCGTATGACGAGGCTATCATGCTGCCAAAGCCCCAGGCACAGCTACTGAAACGGAACAGCTGTACGCAAACGGACGAGGACGAAATCGCGGCCATCGTGGCCGGCTGTTCCATGCTGTTACGGGAAACGAACGAGGAATCGCAGCTGCAGCACAAGCGCAACGTTAGCGTGGGCGTGGACAGGGGCATCACGGACGCCAGCCGGTGTCCGGCCGGCCGCAGGGGCAGACGGGGCGGTGGCCCCGTGGAAAACCGGAACAACCGCCACCACCCCACCGCCGGTGTACACATGACCCAGCTGTAGTAAAGTATATGAGCCCAACATTAATCTCAACCCCCCCCCCCTTATGAAGCCTCCCCCCACGGACCCTGCATAGTCCTTAGCGAATGAAATGTAAGTGAGACCACACGTAGATCGACTACACCGTCTCGATGTAAGCACACATCTTGAAAACAAAAATATGTCATCAAACTTCAAAGAACCCACCTTACTCGAAACTGTACTTTTTTTTAAAAATGTTCTAATTCAACTTGGTTTTAAGACGGATTATTATTATGAAAACCGACAGTGTCAATAATCTGAACATGGTTTTGATAACGGCGAAATTTCTCTTAACAAAACCGGAGTCAAATTCAACTACAGTCATAAGAAACGTGTTAGTACATTATTACTACCTATGATGCGTGTACATACGATTTGTAACTATCTAGTCTAACTATTGAATGTCAAGTCCTACGGTGATACAAGAACAACTAAATTATTATTGTAATAATTCCTAATTGACGAATTATCAATCTCAAACATTTTTATTTTACTATTTCGCTTATGTCACTGACATTTTTAAATAACACGTCTTAATGATCATAATCACATTAGGCGGGTTAATTAGTTTTTGTACAATTTTTTTTTTGTTATTCTTTTTATTACTAACTTGTAATCGTTTTAATCGATAAAAATGTTTAATAATAGTTATAACCTATAAGTGTGTATGTGCTATGCGAGTAAAGATACAATTTGTTTATATAATTTATTCGGCTTAATTTATAATGGTAATTACCTATTAATGATTAGGCTATGATGAAAACGACACGACGTTCCACTCAAATAAATAATTTTAATTATTATTATATTCTATAAGAAGGCATCAGCTAAACATATTTTTGTGTTTTTAAAAACTTTGTTAAATTTATTATATATATATATGTAATATTTTTTAACCCACTTTGGATTAAATACAATTAATAAATAAGTTTTACATAATATTATTTAAATATACTTTTTAGTATTCAATAGTTTTTATACGTTTTTGCACTGCAGATTTAATTATGGACAAATACGTGAGGTAAAAGAACGAAAAAAATATTAATTATTATTCCACCAAGAAAAGTGGAACTTTTAATAATTATACGTGAGGACCAATTAAAATGCTTTCCTATTAATTTCAATTGTTCATAAAATATTACAAGTATAAACTTATATAGGAATTTTTATCGTATGCGTTTATTATTTTTTTTCCATACAACTGTACCTATAAAGCTTTTTTTTCAAGAATACTTAAATGAAAAACTCTTAGCTGTAGAGTGGCAATAGCTATACCTTTGAAGGCAAAGCAACTATAAGGATCATAAACCTAGGCAACCACATGCAATTTGTTTCTTTTACTGATGCATGTAAGTACATCCTCACATTGAGTGATTGGCTTTGTTTATGATTTTGAAATAAAAAATGTACCAAACGGCGAACAATAGGATGAAAACTTGAAAATTTACGTTATTAGGGTTTCATGTAATGTTTAAAATAATATACGAATATAACACTTTTATAAAACTCAATAGCTAATACAATTTTCTATGTATGGCAACCAAAATTATTTCCATTATACTTTATAAAAATGATTATTTTATACCATCAACGGTTTTACAGATCTATAAAATAAAACAACGTAAAATATAGAACAAGCACAGAAAACATTTTTAGTAAGAATTATTCTAGACAGAGCTGTGAAAATAGTTGTAGAAATCCTGATAACTATAGGCTAATCATTTTTAGACACTTTTCAAATAATATAAAAAATTAATTAATTAAAATGTAGCAAAGGGTTTCAGTTTTTTGTCATTTTTAGACGAACATTTAGTTATAAGTATGGATTTTCTTAGCAGAAAAATATTTCTATAACAAATAATGAAATTGACTATGACTTACGCCTTCAATTTGTGCTAGATGCATTATTAAGAAAGGTCAACTCACTCAACACCAATATCTGAAGCCTACGTCTCCTTGGTTCCGTTAATATCAAAATCCACCCACTCTACTCCAATATAAAGCAGCATTAGTATTTTTGATTTCTTTTACTGTAATCACTTAATTTGTAGTGCGAAAAACGAAAAGGGACTTCTTTTCGTAATTTTTCACATTTGAGTTGATGTTATTTTCTGATTCTTGATTGATATTTAAACAATTTGAGATATAGTTAATTTTTGCAACTAAAAAAATTACTTAGTTATTGCACTTAAAAATTTGTGACGGCCGAAAAAGGTATCTTTTGGCTTTATTTTTCCATCTTAAACCTTTTCAATCGTATTTTCTTATTTCAAGAACTAAGAAGATTATTTTATTACTGTCTGAATTTTATGAAACATATTAGAATGCATTACCTTTTTTCTTTACAAAAAGAATATTAATTGTATTAATATTATAAATATTAATATAAATGGTATTTATGCCATTATTAGTATAATAGACATGGATCGGATAATAACCAAAATAGTTTGTTCATATCTTAAAAACATTATTTTTTTAAAAATCGAAAAAGCCATAACTAAAATATCGGTTAGACTAAGTTAGAGACTGAGAGTTTGGCGTTTGAAAGTAACTTACATATTATGGTTTAATGTGGTAAGTAAGGCGCTATCTGCCTATAAAATAATATACTATATCAAATGTCAATGCTTACAACCCACTTCGACCAGAGGGCACAGTAGTATAGCATAACAGTAATCATTTTCAAACTTGCCTTAACAATAATTGTATAAACGTATCTCCAAGGTGTGATATTGGTAATAAATAAAACATATTAACTAAAGTGCTTTAATTAATTATTGAAAATATTAATTATGCTTATAATATTATAATCATTGCATATGTTAGTTTTTGTATGTTACGTTGCGATATTATGTTAAAATGTTAAGAAGCAAAAAATATTTTTAAAAAAGTATAATATCATACGTTACAGTTCTGCATTCAAAATGTATTGCAAAAAATATATATAAATATGATATACGAGTATGTATATTACTTTATGTATAAAGTTTATAAACAACATTTTTACTATAAGATAAATATAATTTGTCAAAAACATTTGTATTTATGTTATTCTCCAATGTTATAAAATTGAATTAAATATTTTATACCTTTATTAGTATTTTCCAGAGATCTATCAACTTTTAAAACTTAAGTGGAGTAAACAACAGGTCCGGTCAGTTGTTAGCGCTGATGATGCTAACAACTAACACCAGACCCCGGGCACTAATAAAAATGAACACGGTAATAATTTTTTTTACAGTGTATCAATTCATATCGTAGGGTATCATGTGTAACCCAAATTCCAATTATAGATGTCAAGCTGGCACGATAAAGACAAATATAAGTCAATTAGCAAATTACAGGCCACCGAAAGCTCATAATTTGTAATCGAGAATTAATCATAAAAGAGGCCGACAATGTGTCAGTATAAGTATACTAAATAATAATATACTACAGTAAGTATATAATATTATAAATTGACAGTTCATAAAGATTGTCAAAACAATGATTTATTTCATCTTTACATAAAGTTAAAATCAAAATAATTAATATACACAAAAAAGAAAAGAGTGTTATTTTTTATTCACTGAAAATTTGATTTAACGGAACTCGACTAAAAAATTGTTGGACTACATTGGAAACCGCAGCGCCTAACGCTTCTTCAAACGCTGGTTGCAAATCTGCCAACAACTCACGCCAATTTTCATTCAGGAACACATTCATGTTGTCTCCTGAAATACAAAATACATAACACAATTGACAATTATTTCTTGTCTTAATCACAAATCATAGACGATAGGTCAACTCGGATATAGGTTTAGATGAAATCAGTTATCATTTATCAGTCTTTCAATAGTTCCATTGTTCTAAATTGTATAATATTTTCAAATTCGTAACATACCAAGACTTTTATCACCGTTGAACAGATTTTCGAATTTCAAATGGAGTTTAGTTGTGCTGAAATTCCACGATAACTTAACAAGTTCCAAGTATGTAACTCCGTTCTTAATGATTTTCTTGAATTGGAGATAGCTTTTCGATGAATAATTATCTGCAATCAAAGTAATCGTCTTGATTCTATTTGAGATATTTACATCTAACAATCTTAAAAAAGCACAGCCTTCGATCAATACCTATCACCATTCTGCATTTGCCCTTTCCTGTGATGGGCAAAACTAATACCTTTCCGTTCATTTCGTACAAGCCTTCCAGCACGATGGGCAATTTGGTCTGTACGCTAATGGACATGTTGAGGTTGGCAGTATCGAATCTAAATTAAAATCGAATAATTAACGTCTTAATACTTTGATCGAAGTACGCTTATTACTGGTAATCCTTAATGATAGTGCTGTTGAAGTTGTAGATGTCTAATTCTTCGAACTGCATCTTGATTTGCACCGGTCCTTGGCTTCCCTCATCAATAACTAACTTTGTAACGTGTAACGGATCCACGGGAAATAGACCAAGGCTAGGAATACCTGAAAAATATTGCGAGTTTAGATAGGAAAAGAAAATCCGAACAGCTTATATCACCTTTAGACATATACGGAAAAGCAACGTTCAGTCCATTCCAAATGCATTTGTTTAGATCTGGATCGCTCAGACTGCATCGAATAAAACCTTTGGCTGAAATTTTATAATTATTGTGATGTGTTATTTAATTATTAATACTTTGTTTATCATTTCACATATATTTGCCATCATCATTCCGCCAAAAGTGGCACGACGCGATAACAACCGAGATTGATGGAGAGAATCGTTTGGAGAATCCTTTAACGACTTTATTACAATAGGGTTGTGAGCTATTGACATATTTTCTCCATTTAACTTTTTTTCTGATTAAGTTAGGATTTATAATCGAAAAATTCGACTTAAAGTAGATTCAAGTATATGATCGGTACACCTATGGAAGATGTTCACCGACCTGTAACTACCAATCCGTTGTTAATATCTAACAAAATGTATTAAACCATTTTTCTAAAAGGTTAAAAACTGAATCTACAACTTATCAACATTGTTAAGCAAAACCATTTATTTTAAGAGTAATGGGCCACCTCCCATTTAGTTTTAAGCTTACTAAAGGTATAACTGTATTGAAACTTTAGAACTTGGAGCAAATTTCTTAACAAACTACAAACCCTAGCCAAGAAATCAAATTTTCAATTTGGCCCCCTAATTTGTTTTTTGGATAATTTGCAGGATATTTCTAGACAAACTTTTGGGATAGACGATAGTCATAATTTCAGTGAGCGGCATTGAAATCACACCGTGTTAACCATAGTCGGAAGTATCTTCTGTCAACTGTAACAATTTGACGGGTTTTCTAAGATACTATCTACCTACTTGAGTGCGCATTAGAAAACAAATTTGAAACTTAATTAAAACAAAAAGTGACAAAACCATTTTTATAAAATCTAATAAAGGTGACTACCATATAAGTCAGTGATGTACTTACGCAATTTTGACGCAGGACCCGCTTCGGCCGTGCACGCAAAAACTAGAAAAAGACAACAAAAATATTTTGCGATGACTGTGAACATATTAAAAATTGTACTTTATTAATTGTCAGTAAGTATGAAAATCGATTTAATCTATCCACGGTTATTTTGGAGGGGAATTTAAAAATCAACAATGAAAATAGTTAACAGCCATTTCACAACTACTTCCCGCGTTTGGCTTAAGATCTGGAATATGCGATACAGTCAACCCAGGAACTGTGTGTTGATACTTGATGCCACCACGGAATCTCTCCCTACTTAAATAAAATGTAGCTTATAGCATACATTAATTGTATAATATTGTATGCATTTTTAGTTATATAATCCGCTCGACCTACAAGCGAGGTCATGCATTTTATAGTAAATATATACTTCAATAAAGTTCTTTGCATTTACCGTCGGTATTTTTATACAAAACGGACTTGAAAGGAATTTTGTGAATACACAGCTAATTATCAACCAAACTAGTTTAGAATCCGTCGGCGGCCAAATACCAAAGCCGGCGACTGCGCTTCAAATACTGTACACGAGGCTTGTCCGATTCGAGGTAAAAATTGTACTTAAGAAAAAAATGTAAAATAAAAAATTTTTCTACCGGTATATTCTTGTCCTTGTGTAAGTGCATGGCCGACTAACACGTGTCAACGATAATATCAGGAGGTAAAAATTGATCACATTCATTACAAAAAAAAAACCTATAAATATAAAAAACTTTTAAAAAAATCTGTACAATTTAAATCCGCAGTAAAGTCAAGGACATCAGCAGGAGGGAGTCACAACAGTATTTTTATATTATCACTTGTAAAGAAGATATAAATTACCATCTAAAATAAATTAAATTAAATATACACAAATTTACATTAAGAAAACGTCATACGCCTTTTTAATAAGGAGTTAGGTATAAGCACTTCTTTGCAAAGTCTTAATTTAAAGGTTAGTCTGTGACGTGTGATTATTATTTCAGTTATTAGGACTCTTTTTTGGTTTCGGACTATCACAGCATCTTTGAAAGCCATTTAAAAATGTTTTTTCATCCAAACATGTTTACGCAAAATGAGTAAAACTCACTTGATTTTGATTTTATAGTTAGAGTTTGGTTAGATTACAATTAAAATAGCTGTCGTTTTTAACTTTTAATTGTACACTGAAATGCTCACGCGTGTACCCACTTTCATAATAATACAGCATGGTCAGAAGATAATAATATAATACACATCAGAAATGAACAAACTAAAATAACCAGTTCGTGGCGATCGATGGCGCCAAGTCAATAACCGATTAGAACGAACATTTTATAGATTATATATTTTTTTCATTGTAATTTGTAAAAAAAAATATAAAATATTTTACCTCAAGGAATTGCATGCGGTTGGATTTCAAGGAGTTTTGTATAGGCAATATTTAAGAAAAAAGTGGTTTTAATAAATTTCGATCATATCAATTAATTTACCGGTTAATTTGTATAAGCTTCATGGTATTATTTTTAATTTAAATCATTTTTTCTATGATTAAAAACCATTTTAGTTAATATAATATACATTTTTTGTTCCCTCAACTATAATAAAACTAAACTATTTGTCCATATATTAAGTAGGTAGACAACGTCTAATTGTCTAATATTACAGTACATTTTTCAACAATTACTCTGAAATCTGAATACAGCACAACATAATGTTGATAATTCATCCTAAGTGAAAAATGTAAAGCTTCATTCATGACGACTACAATTTAAAAATCGTTGGATTGCCAGTAAAAATTGTTTTTATTATAAAACAGCAACTTTTTATTAAATTTTCTGTAAAAAAAATATATATAAGCTCGATTAAAAAATTACAAATGTATATTTTCTCATGCTCGTGTAATCATTTAAAAGTTATTATGGTTTAGCCGTGACCTTAGAACGCAATCACGGAAAACTGGATAAACTAGAATTTATATCAATTACAAAAATTAAGTGAGGCGCGTTTCAAAACGAAGGTCTTAATATTAATATTATATTAATAAGCAGTTATTATTCTATGGCTTCCCTGTTCTTTTTTTTTTAATTTATACCTACCTAAAACCATTAAGTGATATGAATTATTACAAGTTTAGGTTTTAATTAGGGTATTTATTTAATGGTTTATTAGTTTACAGAAAAATTAAGTAACATTAATAAATAAGTCATTCAAATATTAATTTTACTGTGTACTTTGCTTGATTTTTTTTATATCTAATAATTCCAACTCAGTTTTAGCTTTTATTTTAATATCTGATTGACCATTTAATGTATTTAAAAATAGCCCGGTCGAAGACAAAAAATCTATTTTTTTAATAATTTCAAATTAACTACTCGTATTATGGTTATAAAAGAAAAAAATACCGTTATAAACTAGAAATTATGAAAACAATAAAACAATAGTTGGACATAAAATATAATATACTTATCCGGAGTAAAGGAAGTTACAAGTTTTTAGATATAATTATAACTTAAGGTAATTTTACCATTTCAATGAGAAATTAAATATGATTAATAAATAGTATTAAATATTAATTTCAATGAGTTTAAGTCAATTAATGTAATATATAAGCAAATTATTAAATTTTTAGATTTTTATTGATAAAAAAAAAGTTTGAATGATTTATATAGTTTTTAGCTTTGATGCGGAGCTCAAATTATATTAATTTTACAATGTTTTTTCAGTAAAATTTTATCAAAAGGAAAACTTCAAGATTGTTGTCCGAGAAATTAAGTACCCTACGTAAAATGGATCAGTGATCACCCGGTATATATTCTATTATGTTTTTTTAAAAATGTAATATGAGATGTAATTTAAATTATTTTTGATAAAAATCATAAAATATATTGTTTAAAAATTATAAAACTCTAGTTTTCAAGTCAATGTTGAGAATAGAAACAGGCAATTTAGTATAAAATCTAATGTCCATGTTGGAAAACTAAAATAGTAAAGGAACTGTTAAAACCATCACAACATCAACATAGCATCAAAGTAGACATCTAGCACAGTTTCAAACATAACAGTAAAAATCAGAAAAAATGAGCAAACTAAAAATCTAATAAGCACAAAAGTTTTCTATCTAGGCTCAGGGTTGTTAATTTAGAGCGACAATACAATACAGTGGACTAGCAGCAGTGAGTGATTGCTTTTTATTTCGGTTACTGTCGAATTGGGTTTAGGAGTGCACGTTTTTTTTTACTCGAGGCAAGCAGCTGACAGGACGTGCTGTCAAAAAGACAAATTTATATTCTGAGTTTTAGTAATATTTGTAAAACAAGGCTATCGAGATACTATTACATTTATTTTAATGCAGTTTATGTTGCCTATACGCTAAAGCCAGTTGACTTTTTTTTAACTATTATTAATTGATTTAGTAACTATAACTAATGTTTAAAATTGAAGTATAAATATCACAAGAACACATTTAAAAAAATAAATGATAAGAAATAAATTACAATTTATTTACACGAATCATTTTTTTTTAACTCAGATGATTTACTTTCAAGTTCAAAACTCAGTTAGGTATATACCAAAAACAAATATAAAATAATTTCTATAATATATATTATAGAAACAAGTTCTAATAGAAAAAATACAAATTGTTATACCTACCCACTGAATTCAATTTCCATTGTATCAGCAATACATTTGAAGGATAAATACTTCCTCTGGAGCTCTTTTTGTAGCAAATAATTTCGTATTAACTTTAAAAATAAATTTGAAAATATATTAGACGTTTAAAAAGTTGCAAATAATATGATCACAACCATAAATTATTACAACTCGTAATACGTTTAAAATATTTTTTGGTTGCTAAAATTTGTGTTTTATAACAATAAAAGACTGGCCAGAGCTTCGTTATGATCAGTGAGAGTGTTAATTGATAAAAAGTGAATATGATAATTTTTATAATTTATTATAATTCATAGTCATTTTAATATACTGCACTAACAAGGAACAAAATTAAATTTAAGTACTCCGGAATAGGATAGGCCGTCCTCTACGACTCCAAACCCTCGATTTAAAAACCATAAAACCTCGATATATAAAGGAAAGTTTCATTTTCATAAATAAATATTCAGATTATAGATTAAACAATATAACATAGCAAATTAAGATGAGTAATATACTTATAATTAGTTATTGTTATGCTCCTTGGGAATCAAACCTTGCAAGCTCGTAATTTTCATTTATCAATTACGTTATGTTAGAGCAATTTTCAAATAAAGACTACTAATATATGTTAATTAAATTCCCCCTTTTTTTAAACAATCATTTTATTAAAAATAATTTTATGTTTTTAAGATTTACCATTGAATATTAACTATTGTTAAATTCTACTTCCGTAACAAGTATTTTTTTTTTTCATTTTAGTTATAATTTTTATTTTACAAATTATACTTAATAACCTAATATAATTATATTTTTTTTAATGAAACATCATTTGTCAACTATTCATCAAAATGTTAATGTAGTAATGGTTCTAAGTATATACATATGTGCTTACAATACTTGGTTTCCTGTCAAAATATTTCCAAAATTACAAAATATATTAAATGAGGTATAATAAAACGTCGACCGATAGAATAATTACTCTCAGGTAAGATAATGTTATTGTCTGAACAAAAATATAAAATAAATTATTCGTAATATAATAACAAACCGTAGTTAATACTAAATTACAGTAAAAATATGCTAGATAAAAGTTTTTTAGTAAAGTGGAATACGAGTTACTGTCACATAATAAGCAAGTGCAACCGGTAAAGTTTTCAAAATAATAATTATAAATATTTCATTTTTAACTAAACGATTTTAACCGTTTGGTATTAGAAAATATTATTTCTAAATTATTTCTATTATTTCTAATTTTTATCAGTTGCACTTTCTCTAATTAATTGCAGTTACCTCACTTCACCATATTATATTTAAACAAATGAATACATTTTTAGGGGTGCTGAAAATAAACTTTTGCAACTCATTATTTTTTCAAGAGACCCAAGAGCAACCCCTTAATGACGCCAACCTGTTCTGTACGACGTGATATCAATAATTCATAATTTATTATAAGTTTATATTTGTAAATAAACGAGTCGTGTAGAATATATTGATATTTTGATATATTTGCATGTCGATAGTTCGCACTTTAACGAATCGATATTCTATTGGTCATCCCGCGAGTTGTCTTAATTGCATCATTTACAGTATAATAATAATATGTGGTTTCGCTAATCTAAACTGTATACAATATTATACATTCGACGTTTTAGTAATATTTCCAATAATTAATAATACATCGATATGTTTTTATGATTATTGAACGCTCATTCGATTTCCTAAACACATAATAATCTTTGTTTTGAATACAACCGCAATGATGGCAATCATGTTTTTTTTTTTTTTATTGTTTTTAATATGTGATTAAAATACTAATAGGACTCCGCCCGGAGCGCTTTTTTGCATTAGAAACAGTTACGCGTATTATGGAAATACTTTTAAATAATGAATATTTAAATTTTTTATAATATACATAAATATTGTTGACGTCATTGTAACACCGGGAATAATATAAATATTTATACATATAACCGCTGGATGACAAAAAATTAAAACAATATATTATTTTATTGAACGATTAAGATAACAACTGAATTTGCATTTTCCGCATCCACGGCCGCTAGTCTGTGTGATCATAACTTAAGTAGTTTATTTGATTTTTTTTTTTTTAATTTAGATAATTTGCTCAGAGCTCCAAATACCACACAGCCATGTCATCGACAATATTCATAAAATTCGTTTCGAGATGAAGGTCTTGGAAGGCGAGTCTTCGTAGCACATACCGACGGCTTGTAACCGCTAACCAACGAAAATACATACAACATAATATAACATTGTGTAGTATATAGTATGCAATGGCCAATGACATAGTCGTTACATATTATAAACTACTAAATCCAACCAATTTATAGGTGTATAACCCGTGTGGTATTATTATTAAGGTCATTCTACCTAGACATAAAGATCCCTAAATTACTTAAGATCATTTGCAACGATACCTTGACCCAATAATTAATGGTATCTTACTTTGAAACTGGTATATGATATAAAAAAAAAAAATCTAAACCAAATAAATAAATAAATCTTCTTTTGTCACTTCGCGCAAAACGTTTAAGACCAGCCTCGAGTCAAATAAGCCGATCCCGACTAATTAAAAAAAATACACACACGCATGCATTCGCTTTCCTAATAAATTACAGCTGTAATAGATATTATATTTTGCTCAGTTATACGAATACAACTCAATTTTCATATTATACACGCCTGGCCAAGTAACGCAATCGGTAAATAATTCGGCTAATCGAGTATGGCATTCCAAAACCAAATATCGTTTGTATAATTATATCATATAAACATAGCTATTATAATATTTACTAATTTTCTGTTGTATACAACTAATGCGCTAGTCGAACAGATTTGTGATTTATGTATTTATTTATTTAATATCAGTTTGTATTTAATTAAAATTTTTATTTGAAAATGTATGTATCCACGATTTGCTTTTAGCTGCCATGTTAAACTAACTATCAATTAATATATCTTAAAACACGTTTCCTCTTATAATAACACTAATGGTAATGATATGCACCTAAGTGAAGCGATTACTCACTATAATATTATGCAGTATAAAAATTATATTATATTACAACAACCTTTATTTTACCCCTGTTTCACTCTTCATAATAACATATTCATGTCAATTCATCAGGTCCGGTTTCTTGACTATTATTTAACATTTTAATTTATTTTATTACGATTGTATAATCAATAAAACAATTTAAATAATTAACAAGAATTGTGTTTTTTATAACTATATTTAAAAAAAAAACTTATTCGAGTTCAATAACTTACTAAAAAATAATTAGATTTAAAGCTCAATATCGCTATAGTTATTATAGACTATATTTTATAAATACGGATTTGATGTTACTTATTTAACAGCGTATCTAGCTTAGCTGTTCAAAACCTGATGTTGATTTTTAACTAAAATAAAACATTTTGATCCAAGTTAACCTTGAAGAGGTTATTTTTAAAATTCAATATTTGTTAGCATTTGTTGTTCTACAGATATTATATTTTTACTAAGTATAAAAATTCAGATTTTATTAATCTAGTTTTTAATAGTGCTCAAAATATACACAAAAAAAACAATCGGAATTTAACAAAATTATAGCCTTACTAATTCTTAGTAACCACAGATTAAAAATTGTATCACAGTTTTATCTAGTCCGTGGTATTGTAAGAGACCATTACAAGACCAGCAATGGTATTTAAAAGTAAGTGTTGAGCACTGGAAAAGTGGTATGAAAAAAAATGTAAGTGACTGAAATGATAATGTTGAGATGGATGTGTGGAGTCACTCCATAGTCACTGCGGGACATAACGTGTATGTAAGCTGTGTAAGCACAGATTATATTTTTAATGGAAAGGGAAAAGAATACTTTATATATTTATATTAATATTCCGTTATTTTTTATGTAAGTTAAAAAGTGACTAAAATTAGTTAAGAATGATATTATAGACATAAATTACTGGCTTTATGTCTAATGCCCATGTTCTTTTTGTTTTGACCATTTATATGAAATGCTTGGACGTCGTATAACCTGCTTAAGTGAACTTGTATACATAGTATCTCATAGATCTGGTGGTATGGAGGAAGAAGCCCGAATTTGTATATCATTCGTAAGCACCATACATTCTAATCACACAAACAATGTGTAGTTTTAAGTTTCCTTATGGACGACTGGTACGTCGTAACCGTTTACAAAATGATTTCTATTTAAAAAACTAATCTTTCACTCAAATAATATTGTAAACATTTTAAACAAAGACATAATTGTATTTATGTTTGTTTTTTATAAAAAATAATGCGTATGTGTTCAAATTTTTTAAATATACACTTAGTAAGAACTCACGCCACGCCACTGGTGGAGTGACGAGGTTAGACAGAATAAAGAGTCTAAAAGAGAAGTTTGAGAGTTGTGCCAACAGCAGGGAAAATAAAGATACGACAAGGGAAGAGGGGTTTTTAGGTACATTGAAAGAAAGATGAAAGTGAAATAGTGAAGTTAGTGTTCACAGTTGAAGTATTCTAAAGTAAAGATTGACCAAGGAAGAAGTGAGTAGATATTAAAAAATAAAAAGACATGAAGGTGTTAGTAGTGTATAAAAAAACGGTAACAGGAAGAAATAATTTGACCGGCCGACTCCACTGTATGGCATAGGGCGTAGAAAAATAAGAAGTTAAAACTAATTTTTTGATTTTGAATGTAATTTTTTTTAAATTTACATTTAAAATAATAATGTTTTAGATATTATATTTATACATATACTGAAAGTAAGAATTGTACAAAGAATTTCATTAAAAATATATTATTTAATGTAATTTATATTTGTTGTTATTAGGAGTTTGGTGCAGACAAAAGCAGGCGCTTTCCATAAACGTTGTGTAACTACCATGAAACTGTCGGTAAGGAGGATTTTCTCAAATTACGAGTCGTGCGTGTCTTTGCTTCTCAGGAAACAACCCGCGTGTATATATTATTGTTATTAAGCCAAGTATTAATCGGTGCGTTCGCAGTGTACACAACCTTGTTTGCAGTGAGCGAGATCTATAATATTATACGCAGGAAATAAGTGCATAAGTATATGGCGGTAACACCGTTTGCCGGGTCCTTGGCCCGGGCATGTGTCACGTTCACGACCAGCAACGATCCATACGGTTATTATTTCAGTATCGGAAGGAAGACGGGAGTATTTTGAGACTATCTATACAGACTCCCAAATTATTCAACAGTAATCCTAATCATAGGCGTTTTTACAATATTTGGTTTGGATGGGTTGACCGAACTATGGTAATTATGTCTTATACATAATATACTTGAGTATACATGTTATTTTAACAAACGACATAGCTTTAACAGGCACAGACGCCAAGGCTAAGCAATAAAACTCGTTCGCAAGTCGTGTTTACTATTCGTGGGTCTTCCGGTGTAATCGATGATCGTGTTGATATGGTCTATGGTATATTATGTCCAATATGAGACCGGTCCAGCCGTATAGCTGCAAACTGAATCCTCGTGTGTTGGCGGTCAAAAGAGGGGGAGGCATCGCATTTTTGCGGATCTAATAAAAAGGACGTACAATCAACGGTTCGCATCAATGTCCATCCGTCACCGGTGCCAAAGACTTCTTTTGCTTCGCTCGAAATTACCATAAACGCACAATATGATGGCCGATATTTTCAAGATCACCTGCTGTCTTGTGTGCGTCGCCGGCGTTGCTTTAGCCGCCCCCGCTACAGTCAAATTGCGTGAGTACACCGTAATATACGAAATAATACAACAAAAAAAAAATTTCTATAATTTTTAAGACAAATTTCCACCCTGCCAAGTGCAATTTTTGATATTTTTGACTGACCAACCATCAGTGTTGGGCGTGGAAATTATTTAAAATTACTTTTTCACAATGTTTGTCTATGATTTTTCCTTAGTCGAAATTTGATTTATGTAACCCCAAATTCGATGTTAAAATTAGCACTCTATTTTTATTTTCATATTAACAGTCTTTTTTAATTTAATTTTTTATTTTAAAAATAATTATTTTTATTTTTTATGTTTTAAGTCAAATGTGTTTAAAAAAATATAATAATAAAGTCTAAAAATGACCTTAAATAATAGATAGTTAATGTAAGTACATGACAACAAAATTAAAAATATAATTTATTATGACTTTACCTTAATTTACAACTACTACATATCTTTGCTTAAGTCTTAAGCCTTTAAAGTAATATCACATTTAATATACAATGTGTAGAAGATAAATTTACGTTCAAGGGTTATTTGTCGTTTTGCGCCACGCCGATTGTAACGTTGAAGTCTCCATATTTAAGAAAGTACTAGTTTTATAAATGATTAAGCGGTAATTGGTAATCAATATGATTGTACCAATGTAAACCCAGTAACGGTGATCATAATACTTGTTTATTCTCATATTATAATGTTTTTAATTTCCATTGAAACTAATTTCAAAAATTCACAAAAAAAAAAAGGTATACATTAAATCAACTCACACTATTATGTCAATAGTTAGTTTCGATACTTTCAAAACAACTATGAGATATGATTAATTAAAAATACACAATATTATATTAAAATAATAATCACGACTATTTTACAAAAAGTGTCAAATTTACATTTTGATTTAAGTCACTATCGGGGGACATTTAAATTAAATTATTATCAATAATACAAAATTAATATTATATGAATATTGTAATATTGTATAACTATTAACTAGAAACAAATATAGTATTTTTTTTTACATGAAACAACACCATTAAAAGAAAAAAATGAGAAATAAACTATTAGACATTCTCTATGCGGTTAATTCCTATTGTGATTTCTTTATGCCTGCAAATAATATCATAAACATCATATTATGTTTTGATCAATAATTGGTCGGTTTGATACAACCAATTGACTTCCCATATTTACTGTTTCCTTAAAGTTCGTCGTTTGAATAAAAACTAAAAATAAATAAAAACATTTCTAAAATACTTAACCATTTATTTTACTATAAATTCACCCGATTATTTTGGGGACTTTTATATCAATTTTGAAAAAACTATCTATGCCTTTATTTTAGTTTAAACAATAATAAAGTCCTTCCTTAGTAGTATATATGTAAAATTTAAAACGGTTGATTAATATTTAATAATCTTTTCTACGTCATTTTAACATCAACATGATTTTTGTTAATATTTTAATAGGATTTTGTGTATCTTAATTTTTGTAATGGTTATTCACAATTACATGTACTTCACAATAATCCGCCATCCTTGTCGGTATAATATCGTACAATTTACTACATTTAAAAATGAAGGTAACATCATGAAAGTCAAATTAGCCCATTTCGAGAATCTCCATAGGGCCTCCGAGGCCGCAGGGCATGAAATAGCAACATGCTTTGCATACCTCGAATGCGCAAGCCTATATTATGATTTCAACACAAAAAAGATTAATTTCACCGACCGACCCAACCGAATACACCACGTTCATAAAACCGACAAATTTATAGCACCTGTATATGTGATATTATGTATACCAACACTATCGATTACTAAACATTGGTAAAAATAAAAAATTAGGTGCTTAAAAAACGACTAAGGACCGATGTAACCTATTTTGATTTTTCTAATAAAATCTATATTTAATACACCATTAAATCTCTGAGCACTTAATGAAAACAGAGGAGGTTTTTGGTCATAAATTAATTAATGTATTATATTAAATCCAACGTATGAATTTAAAACCTTAAAATCAAATACGATGCTGAACTGGAAAGGTAATCTTTCCTTATTCTTAAACAATATTTTAATTAATGTGATTAATATGCATTTAAATTATATTAAAATTTAATAAAAATAATTTAAATTATATTAATATCATTTTGATTTTACATCGAGTGTTAGGTACAAAAACGGAATATACTAAGTTACTGAAATAACGATTAAGGACGTTTAATATAATATTTTCAATGTCAATGTGCAATGTAGGATTTGTTTGATTAAGTAAACTTCCCTCAGTAATTGTATACCGGTAATTTATTCAAGAGACATTATGACGACCATTTATCATAAACAAACAGCGTTAATAGAAACAATATTTAGTCATTTTATGGGAGGTCGTAGTGAGTGACTGAATATAAATAGTCAATAATATTTTATGAGACTTTAGCGTCGTTATAGTTGGCTAAAAATATAACACACACTACTAAATCTGAACGATACTAAATCTTAACAATCTACCATTTCATCGTGAACAGTAAATATTATACACTAAAAAAAACATAAAAAAACATGCATACAACATTACAAACATATTTTTCTAGATAACAACAATACAACTTAGCTCTACGACATTTCATTTTGTTTTTATAAACTATAGAAACGTCGAATAACAATTATAATTATTGTTTATTTATACAATTCTTGGATATACATGATACATTAGTATGAAATTATATTCATATAAGATTATTTTTATAATAGCTATTAGACATACAGGAACTGGTGTAGTAATAATATTGAAGTTGCACTTTTTAAATTATAATTTAAACATATTAATCGTTTGATATTGATATGCTGCCAAAATTGATCAGATATTTTTATGTAAAGATATTTACATCTCATTTTATCTGTAGACTGTGATTTACCTCGCCCATAGGCTTAAGCGAATTGTTTTGGGCGTAGAACTGATTATCGGGACAGCAAATATTTACAGAATTAAAAACAAAAAAATCACAAAGGAAAAAACAAAGGAAAAAACATACCCAAGAAGATCAAAAATAATAATTGTATTAGTAGTGTAACTAGAAGACAGTATTTTTTTTATTTCTTCGCTGAACTAATTGAATCGGTGATTATTCCAAACTTTCTTTAAACCTATTGTAGTTATTTAGTTTACGACAAGTTTGTATTTAGACTTTTACTAGGACATTATTTGCTTTTAAATTTCGCCTAGATCTTTGAATACATGTAAATTCTTATAATTAGTCATAAAAGTCTGTTGTTGAACGATTAATTTCGACTAAAGATACGATTATCTATTTCAATCTGTTTTACTTCAATCCAATATAAGTGATTTTATTAGCTTTACCCACCACCGCCTCATCTAAAGAGAAAATTTCTTAATGATTGAATACCATTATTATCGTTATAAGGACAAATTATGATATTATTTAACCATCGCTTGTATCAGCGGTAAATTAAATTAGTTTTATCTAATTGGTGCGTCTTCACAAAAACACACTAAAACCAACCGTTAAAATCGTATATTTAATTGAATACTTAACAGTCAATCAGATTTCTCCCAGGGTCATAACACGACCATTTCCCATGATAGTAGTATGTATATGCGTTAACTATTGCATTTTGATACGTCCAGATAAGTCGTTTTTATTGTCCGGTTTTTAGTAAAATATTTCACGAATGATTGTCTGTAATTATTGTAAACGTCGTTATTACAGAAAATAACAATAATAATATTATGTCCAGTCTTAACGGTAACGCGGCATATAAACGCTTCGCTTCAATAGTAATTAATTCCATACAAAAAAAATAGTATATTATTTTATAATTTGTCAAGAACACTCGCAATGGTTACAATCGTCTTTTAAGGATGAAGCTTTCAAGTCTTCTTCTCATTACAACCATACCGTGTCGAATTTATATTATTATACACTTATTAGTTATTAGTGTACGCACGTACCAAGACCGCCAGGTATTGTATTTAATAATCGGCATAAGAATGTTACTGACAAACGTCATTCTGTTTTCAGTAAACCGATTAAACGGACAAGGACGATCATATTATTCCAATGCGGTATTCCAAATCACATACATTACTTATCGCTCAATTGTGTACTTACCCAAATATAGTCAACGAGATAATAACAATAAAAAAATATAATTTGAAACCACCGATAGCGGAAAAAAAAGTTTTGAGTACAAGTTAACGCCTAAAAGTCTACTTACAGTGATGTAGATGTTATTTAAGTGTTTTGGCAAAATATCAAAATTATTAATAAATCAATATGCTTATATTATTGTACATGGGTTATTATAAATTTGTGTTTTTAAATCCATTTTTTTTAATATTATTTTACTCGCTCAAATTTATATTAAAAAGTTATTTTACAGCATAATTGCTATCAAACAATAATAATATGAGGTCGATTATTTAGTCTGTTATATTATTATTCTTATTAAGTCTATTAAGTCTATTTGGTATATTATTAAGTCAGTCATGATGGCGTGCGGGCAAGTATTATAATTAGTTTCGAGTAACCCTGACCGTTTTCACAGACTATAATAACATGTATTAATGGTTATGTATATTGACCGAAGACCAAAAAATCTTACTCGGATTTGATAAAAAATCACGAATTTAAATTAAACAAAAAATAACACTTCACTTATTGAATCCAGGAAATAAGAAAACTTGTCCTTGTAGTATTAATCCTGTCTACGCTCTTGGCACAGTTCTGGTTAAAACGACGTTCAGAGTTTTATAATACTGGAGCACTTTTCCCCAAGGATTTTGGGTCAACGATACCGTCGTTCATAGATAGATGGACAAATCTGAGCACAAGCCATTAACATTTTTAACAATAAGAACGATGATTATAAGCTATTTAATTAGTTTTACCCCATGCAACAATTATGTGTACTATAACTAGCTCAAGGTTCGTTCTTATAAAAAAAAACTATATAGAACAAATGTGAGCAGGAATAACTATATGTATAAATGTATAAAATATAAATACATACAAGCATAATACTTGCCTATGTTATTTTTACTTTTACTATTAGATTTTATTCCAGAAACTTCAATATAAAAGCCAATTACTCTCTGAATTAAGCACTGAAGCTAAAATAAAATATAACTAAGATTATAGCTGAGACAAAATTAAAGATCTATATTGAAATTTTAACTAGTATTTTTAAATAGTTTTTTTTTTTTTTGCAGCTAAAGGTTTTGTTCAATGCAAGAAAAGCGACCCGGCATTCAGCGAATGTATAAGAGTCTCACTGGAACAGTCAGTCCCGCATTTAATTAAAGGCAAGTATTAGACATAAAGTCGTAAAAAAATTATCTGCGTTTTCTTCGCTTTGGTCAAAAACGTTAGATTTAATAAAATACGCGTTGAGTTAAAAGCAAGGCTAAGTTAAAGAGGAAGTCGGGCGGGCTCTTCAGTTTTTTTAAAATTCCTTTAGGTTCCCGATAGTTGTTTTTTTGCTCAATTTCATTAGGAGCATGTGGGTATGAAATTTTCGAGTCACTCGTCTAGCTCTGTCTGTGGTAACAATTTTAATTATTATCCAATTATCACAGACAAGTTAAATAAACAACTTGACATTTGTTTTAACAAAATAACTTGTTTTTTTCATAGGTGTTCCGAGTCTTGGATTGCACCCAATCGACCCACTGCGAATTACTGCACTGGGAATCGATCAAGGAACAGGACCCGTGAGCATTAAGCTAAATTTCAGGGATTTAGACATTTCAAATATTGGCACCCTCAAAATCAAGGACCTTCAGTAAGTGGTTATAATAGAAAAGAAAAAAGACATTGTTGTAACGATTTTTTGATTTTGTTTTGTATAGTGCCGACATGGATAAGTACAATATCACGTTGACCGCTGAATTCGATAAGCCAATTGTACTAGACGGCCATTACGATATCAAAGGCAAAGTAATAATATTGCCTATCACCGGGGACGGATTGAGTAAAATTAGTCTTGGTACGCTTATAAATGCGTTTGAATTTGCTCTAGAACAAGATTTAATATTTCAACTGACGTTTTACAGATAATCTTAAGGCTAAAATCAACGTTTACCTGAAGCCGGTGAAGAGGAACGGACAAACTTACTTAGAAATCACAGATTTATTTTTGAAGTTCACCACATCCCGTTTGCGCCTCAAATTAGAAAATCTATTCAAAGGAGACAAAGCCTTAGGTGAGTATCATTAACCGTTTAGATGGCCATAAAATCACTTATTATGAATAGATTGAAGGATTTTAAAAATAATATAATTATTCTCTTCACAGGAGCCAACATGAACAATTTCCTTAATGAAAATTGGAGCGAGATTTTAGGCGAATTGCAACCAAACTTTGAAAGCGCGCTGGCCGCTGCATTCGAAGGCGTTGCTAGCCAATTCTTCCAAAGGGTACCATACAACCAAATATTTAAGGATTAAAAAGTTCACTATTGTTATCATTAAGCTATGTCGTATTTATTTTTGATTATTTTTGTACTGTTGTTTTATAAATACAAATATTTTATATAAAAAGGAAACACGTTAGACATTCATGTCATTACCACACTTCCTAAAAAAAATTCCTTAAAAAACTTGTAACTAAATTACTATTTAAAGTATTTCTCTATAGATTTGAAATGAGAATAACTATAAAATTATATTTTAGTACAACAATAATCTCACATTTTTTCTAATGAATTTAGAAAAATAAATAAATTCAAAACAATCATATTGTTTCTTTGCCAAAAACGTTTTCAAAACTATTCACAAAGTCAAATAATTAAAAATAAATTACTTACAACATAATATATGTGTAAAAAATTATAATTTATTAAAGCTTTTTCCAGGTATCTAATCTATAATTTATATATATTCTTTATTGTTCAAACGTCCAAAACTAATACTGGGTTGGATGAAAACATCAACAGAGTCATTTAAAATCCACTCAAGATTGATGAACTAATATCTTTATACAAGATTAAACATTACTTGTTATATACTGTGGATAAGTTTTTTTTGATATTTTAGTAGTGTTTAAACTAATTGTATCACTGTATTAGGTATCCAGTTTAAGATGGAATTAAGGAATTTTCCAAAAGAGGAACTAAAAAAAAAAAAAAACATCTGTTATGATGAGTTCTAATTTATAATCTTTGACTACCCATACTTCGTTCTTTATTTGAAATTACATTTAATAGCACAGTAATTATTTTTGTTTATATTATCGTAGTTATAGGCCGGATAGGTTTAGTTTAGGTTAGGCTTTTTAATTAATAATTTATTCAATTCTTTGTTCTAATGGGAAAATGTACTGAACCTAAATAATGTACCATATTTATATTATAATGCTGTTTTTCGTATTAAGTTATTAAATCCTGGAGTGAGTAAAACAATTATATTTATTTTTACATAAACAAGTACATATTTAATTAAATACACATTAATTAGTTCAATATAATATAATAACAATTACATTAATATTAGTAATTTCGGTTAACTGACAGTAATTGCTGGTTGTCTTTTTACCTTATTTAATTGAAATTACGTTGGAAGGCAACGTAAATGGTATAACATTGTCATTTGCTATTTTGTAATGCTACGCCATAGCGAATTTTGTAATTAGTTGAAATTATCAATCGCATACCAGTTTTTTTAAACGAATTATGGCCAACGCCGTAGAACACACTAATAATAATAACCTCATAAATTGTTTTTTTTACCTACTACTCATAAAAACTGTCTAAACTCTTGAATGAAGGTGATCAAGTCGATTCCAAACTTTATAAATATTATATAAATATGATAATCTGAAGGAGATGCGTATCGAAAACGGAGTTCCTTTAACAATGTCTCACACAGAATATAAAAAATAAAAATAGTAATTTACCTATACATTTTTTACTTTAAAGGTTTGGTGAAAAATATTTGTTCAATGGTTTGTAAATAATTAAAAATATTTTGCCAATAATTGTTAAACATTATTATTTTTCAATTGTAGTTTAACAGGTGGTCAAATAATATAATATCCATCGCGCGATTTAGTATGACTAGCAAATATTTAACTACTAGCGGTTACAAATATTTATATATTCGAAATATATCAACATTGTGAAATTCAATTTTACAAGGTTTATTGAGCAACGGTTATAATATACTGTAAATTAACATCATAGTTACCCGTCTTGGCCGACGCAGTCTCTCTTCTACATTGGTTCGTCAAGCCGTTCACGTCAAGCACTTCACTATATTACTATTATTATAGACATCCATATCTTATCATCATCTACTGTCACTCTTGAGTCAAACGATTGACGGAAAGAAACATTTTTTTGAAACGATATTTCTTTCAAAATGTAAAATATTTCTGAGTAATATTATTCATTTTAATTTAATTTTAAGAGTAATAATAGTCGGGAAAACAAAAAACTTTACTTTAAATTAAAATAAATATGTGAAATGTTTACTTTATTTTATGCTTTTTACAATGTATTATTATGATGTTAAACTGATTTTTGTTTTAAACAATATTATGGCTATAATAATTTTAAAAAGTCTATGAGGCAATTATCCTTTTGAAAATTACTCGACCTACGACTTTAGAAATCAAAAAGTACCTGACTGTTAACCCACATAACAGTTGTTTTACCTGACCACCTATTGTGAACTATAATTATTATTCTTACGCTTTTAAATAAAAATAACAAATAATTGTTAACTATTTAGTTAATTTTATCACAGATAATCGTTGGCTTTAACATAATATTATTTATAATTTCTTAATTAAAAAAATACGAAGACCTTCGGGAATGGGTGTATATGTATAATATATATAGCTCTCCGGATACGTTACCGATTTTGTATACATTCTGTATAATTTACTTATTGGCACTATTCGTTTTCGAAGATCGCATTGATCAAATGCGGCTAAGAAACTTGATTTCATTAAAAATAATATCATTCGCGTGTCCCAATTCACACGCGAGAGGCGTTCACTGGTCCCAAATCAAATGTATTATTACATACTAAAGCCCACAAAAACCACAAACAGCAATTACTAATAATATTGGTTTAAGTCACTTATTTTGCTGGATGATGGCCATAATAATAATATCATTATTATTGCTATGATCGTTTTCAATGATAGTAACACATAATTAAGATGATAATTATGTGTATACAAATACAGTCAGTCTAGCGATAGATTTAATTAAAAACGATTTCATCATTGCAAATTATGTACCTAATATGGATCACGATAATATTCCAAAGTAAATCAAACAAAATTTCGGCGTACCACGCCAAAAATATAAGCGAGAATCCAAAAGCGTATAAAAATATATTACCCTCAGTATTAAACAACACCGGACGATACTAGGAAACTGAAAAGTTTTGGTCGCTAAAAAGCTAACAACTTTTAGCGGCAGAAAAATTATTAGCATCTTTCATGTGATAGGAATGCTACACAAGGTCTATTGCAACATCGCATTTTATAAAGAGCAACATAAGTAAAATTACAATTTATATATGTTATAAATCTATACGTCGAAATCATGTGTAATAAACTAGCAAGTACATTAACTTAACTCAAGGCCAGCGAAATGTAGAGTAAAAAACTATAAACAAATAAGCCACTTAAAATGACATTTTAATTATGTATTCTATGTCTACTATTACAATATTATTATTATCCGAATATAGTAATAGCGGAATACTAATTAAAATACAGTGATTGGTCGTGAAATTGATTTATATACAACTATAACATCGTACTGAAATATTAATGACAGGGCTATCCATTTAACGTAGGACACTGAATATCTCAAATAATTAAAATATTAGTAGTATTAAGTTCTTCTTTTTGAAAGGTATTTTACTTTAGTCTAACTCTCTCTCAACTAAGCTTGTGTTATTATTATAGATATTTTACAACAATATTATCAAATTACCAAATAGTTAACTTTTTCAGTTATATCTAGAGCTATACTAATTTTTGAAACCTAAATAGTAAAGTATAATATAAACTAAATGTTAAAATTAAGAATAATTTGCTAAAAATTTCAACTGGTTGATTACCAGTTTTAAATAATAGTTTTTAAAGTTATTAAATTTTAAGACGGGAGAGGTAGTGTGAATTATGTACACGGATCACAATAATACTACACTTCACCCTGCATTTGGGTATATTATTCCCAACTTAAAAAGTTAATAAAATAGTGTAAGCAACTCATCAGTCAGTTTACACATTCCAAGACTCCAATCTAATATTATTACTACTAAACAAAAGCCTCCTTCAACCTATATGGTTCTATAGAATTACCCTACCGAAGGACTTTTTCACATCTAATTTCTGTTATTGTTTTATTCACAAGCTCAAATTTAGTTATAATACATAATATATAGGTTGTAAATTTCTAAGTAATAAACGTCTTTAAAAAAAAAGTTTAATATCCCATGCTGGCATTTTTCTTTAAACAAGTACGCTTGTCCCTTTAGAGAGCCACGCCTTATGTGTAAATTGTTTGTAAAGAGAATGAAGTAATTATCTCTAAACATTCAGAAGAACTATGGTTAAACAATACTCAAAGTAATACGGAATTTTACTAGATTAACAATTAAATCCATGGTTCAAATCTGGTCTTTTACTTTATAACTACTATCGCTTTAACTGGTTTTTTTATGAAGATTACGTTTATAAGTCTAGATATTTTTTTAACAGATGAATCAGTTTCGCGACAAAAAAAATGAATTATAATGTAAGTATGTAAAGGTAAATAAGTATTTACAGGACTAACGTCAATTGTGTGTGGTAAACTACTTGTATTAAAATTAAATGCAAAGACATTAATATTATGTGTGTGTCGTTTAACTGGACGATAACAAATTAAATAAATCATTTTGAAGCAATTAGCGGTTTTTATGTGAAAGTTGCATAAGACGGAGAAAGAAAATGCGGTGGAGTAATGCATACAAGTATATGTAATATTTTTCTACACCTAAATGAATCCATAAAAAAACTTTTAACAACCAGTGAACATTTTCAGAAAACTCGAACTCCGTGAAATGGCTAAATTGAGATTTTAATTTTAGTTTAAATAATTAAAAAGTTATTTTTATTTATTTTAAAACACACACTTGTAGTTGCGGTCTAAAAAACAATCAATTATTCTTTAAATACCAAAATGTAAATCCTGGTGACCTAAACTGTAAATTAGTAGTGCTATTTTTAAAGAACACCCCTATAAAAATTTGGAAATAATTGGACTATTTTTAAAAAAGTTAAAGCGTGTAGTAAATTTAAGTAAAAAATACCTTCTCGCTTTGCATCGAAGCTAAAATGTGTACTAATGTACACATGGATGTTTTTATCCATTTTGAAGGATGTGATGGGATTTTTTTTTTTAAATTAAGCCTTGTTAAGTACTTTTTGACTAAGTAATGTATAAAGCTGATGGTCTTATTAAATTAAAGACCAAGTTAGATTATTATTTAAGGTACTTTGTCATGGAAAATTCTTTACATGTTGTTATTAAACAATGTA